GTAACTTTGTTATAATAAGTATTAATGCAAATACTATTATCCCAAATGACCATGGAGAATTTGACCTCAGATGGGACTTTTATTACCCCCTCCAAAGCTCAGAAAACATCACAACATCTGTGCCCTTTGACCTGTGCATGCATCAGATCCCTTAGAGCCAGGGCCCAGCTGGTTGTGAGCACCTGTTGTGGGCCCTGCGTCCTTCTACTGTGGCATTTTATTTTAATATCAGTCTTGATAACCCTTCAGAATTAGCAACAAGTTTACCTGGACTTGCAAGGGGAAGAAGGTGAGACTAGATCTAAAGCTCAGAGACTCAGAATTCAGCCCACACACTTCCTAGACTCCTTGGAATCACACAGCCATCAGTTCCGGGTCATCCATGACCAGCAGAGGTTGTTTTTAGTGACACTTGTTGGTACAGCACCAACCATGACTGCAGGACAGCATCCTGGGTAATCTAACATCCCGGATAACCTCCCATTCTCACCTGTAGATCTCAAAATTCCAGAACATATAGAATATAGCACTCTGAAATGAGGATGGAACTAGCTGAAAGAGCCCACAAGCAGGACGCCACTCACTGCCTCAGCCTAGAATAACTCTCTCTGCTGTCTCACACCTCGGACAAGGTGTTCAGTCTCTCAGCGGAATAGGCCACACAGAAACGAGATTGCCTCTGCACTGGGCAGGTGTCCAGCTCAGCCCAGCTGTGCACACCTGCTTTTCCTCACTGTCTAACAGCAAGGAACAGATCCACGTTGGATCACTGCTCTGTGGGCACCAGTCTAGCTTCCTGTGTGCAGGTCTGTAGAAATGGATAGCACATACATGACAGGACATGCCTGAACTCCCTCCAAAGCAGGGCTGCTTTACCTAGACACTAGTAGGTCACTCCAGTCAGTATTCTGTGAGACATAGAAGGGCCGTGTGGACTGACACCATCTTTACCTGACTCACCCACATGGAGTAACCCACCTGGTGGAGGCCATTTTGGTCCAAGGCAGGGCAACTCAGACGGCCATTTTAGCTTCAGAGTTCTATATGTTGTCAGCCAAGGTAAAGGCCTGGTCCTCCTTCATTTGCCCTCCCCTCCAGAGTTCTCTCTCTCTCTCTCTCTCTCTCTCTCTCTCTCTCTCTGTGTGTGTGTGTGTGTGTGTGTGTGTACTCCCTTAGGAATACCTTTAATGAAGGTTCAGTGTGCTACGTTCATGCCTGAGTGTGTCCTCTGAAAAGCCTCATGTGCAATGCAGGAAACTCCTGCCCGGGGCCGTGACTTGGCATGTGGTTGGGTAGCAGGGAGCTGCCTGCCCCAGCATCTGCATCTTGCTGATTGGGGATTTAGAAGCTGACTTTATGGCAGGAGTCAGAGCAGGCAGGAGAGCACACGCCAGAGGACCTGGAAGCTTTAAGATCCCAGGCCTACGCCTCTACTGAGCGCGAACAAGGCCCTCTGTGGCTGGGTGACCTGTGGGAAGTCTCACAGCGAGTCATGACGGTGTGGAGAGGAGGCTGTGATGCCATCCCCTCCAACTCAGCCTTGCTGTTAGGAAAAATACACAAAGAACTGGAGCATCTTATCAATGATTAACCAAGGGAAGAGCAGCGCACAAATTCAATTTGCTTAACTTGTCCTTGAATCCTTATTCCCTGAAAATGCTGTGTTAATTGGAATGAGTTTTCCTGAGAGGTGTGTGAAGACTAACAGGCTTCCCTCACGCCGTTGCTCACCCACCGCTCATCTGCTGGTGGTCTTTCAAAATGTATTTGAAGCTATTACGATTTTTAAAATTATACTTTAATGAATTCTTGGGGGAAGAATGTGATTAAAAAGGATGTATACCTGCTGAAGAGTGAGCTAATAACACATCATTAGAAGAAAGAAGTGATCAGAGGAGTCTCTGGATTATACTCATTTATCAAGTCATGAAATTAAACTAAAAAAATTGCATGTCAAAATACTTATAAATGATTTTAATTTAACATTAGCTAAAACCATGAGTATTGTTCCAAAGCAAGGAAGCAATGAGGGGAATGAAAACATGCCAAGGAAATGAGGCATCATAACTGGGTAGTTGGCGACGGAAGTGCTAAAGGTGTGCACTACCTAGAGGGTAGCAAAAGACTGGACATACGTCCTGAGACTGCCTCTCCAGCACACAGACAGTGCTGGACAAGAAGCCCAACTATTCCCTAAGAAGCCATGACGGAATCATCCAGTTCTGCGGAAGGACAGTGTAGACAAGGGTAGCGTCTATATTTTTATTTGACGTGTTTGGTGTTTGCCTGTACATCTGTCTGTGCCCCACGTGTGTGCCTGTGTGCCTGGTGTATGATAAAGCCAAGAGGGGTTGGGTCCCCTGGGGCCAGAGGTATAGGCAGTAGTTATGTTCTGCTGTGTGGGTGCTAGGACTCAAACCCGGGTCCTCTGGAAGAGCACTCAGTACCCTCAACCACGGAGCCACCTCTCTGGGATATAGTGAAAACTCTTCAGTGGCTGAAAATCAAACTCTAAAGCTCCTGTCACCTCTGACTATTAGGATTTGAGTTTGGGAGCTGCCTTTTCTTGTAGGGGAGTTGGTTGGAAACAGAAGAGCTGGGTTTCCATGGGAACTCAAGGTTTTAAATCAATAAGGAGCCCTGATCAAGCAGCCAGAAAACCCGTGCGATCGGTTCCGAGCACGGCTGGTCTGCATAGGCACCAGGAAGATAGACTGAGCTGTAAATTGGCCCAGTCAATGGTGAAGAAAAGGATAGCCCCAAACAAATGACGCCCCGTGGAGGGCATTGGTTCTGTCAATTTGACTGGCTAATAGGCCTCCATTAAGGTTTGATATATGGAGGAATCTGTATACTTCATCAATCTGTATACTTAATCAGTCCCAAAGCCACGGCCAGTGTCGGCTGCAGAGCCCAGACCTGCCCGGGAGCTCCTCCTAGCCCCTCTCCTGCAGCTGACGCAGGAGCAGCTCTGTGACACTGTAGACACATCAGGTGTGTTTCCCTAGTGTAGGGCGGGGGCAGCCCCTGAGCCCAGCGGCCTGAGCCCCTGCCATTGGTGGTGATTCCTCACTGCACGAAGGCAGACCACAGAGCTGCAGAGAATGCATGAATTCACACGGCCTCACACCAAGCATGGGCGGCCTGTCTCTTTCCAGACATGCTTCTACAGTATTGGTGAAGCTCAGTAGCCCACACCGCCCTAACCACTGTTTCCTACTGGGGGAGGGGGGTGCTGAGATAGCTGGGTCGCTGCCGTCTCTTCACTTTCTAGATTCATCTATTGTCCTGTGAGAAAGCCGCTTTGAAATCCTCCTGACAGAGGTCTATGTAGCAGCCGCACCCACAGAAGAGCCACGCTTTGTGGATTAAATAAAATGTTCTTTACACAGTAGTGCCTACTGCGGATCTAATGTCCCCAGGCTATTTGCATCAAAACCACGCTGTGTCCTGACCCCTGACCCCCTGGGGCTTTGCCAGGTTCTCGGTTTGTCTCCACTCCTGACACAGTTGCCCAGCCCAGCAGACCTCACGTAGCACAAGCACCACAAGTTGTGCATAGCGACAAGCCCGAATGCCACACCTAACCGGAGCCTGAGCAGCGGGGATTACAAGCCCTCGGGGAATGACTGACAAGCTCAGACTCCCAGGGGGTAAGATGGGTTAGCCGTTGGTGCAAAGAGAGGCAGAGGCCTCTTCCTTAGCAAAGCCTTCTCAGAAAGCACACCGCGCCGCGTTCCTGGGGGCTGGGCTTCTGCGCCACGGAAAAGCATGAGTTGGGGCTTAAGAAATGACTGGGTTCTTAAGGATGTGCACTGTCTTTCAGAGGACCTGGGTTCTAGTCCCAGCATCCACATTAGGCGGCTCACAACCCTCTATAACTCATTCTCCTGGTGATCTGATGCCTTCTTCTCTCCTCTGTGTGGGGACACACACACACACACACTTTTTAAATATATTTTAAAGGTAGGAACTTAGAATAAAATATCATCCCTTGCTAAGATCAGGTCTTGATGAATCCCGTCATCAGAAAGGGTCCCCTCTTGAACTGTGTGCTTTGTGAAATGGAAAGCCTCTCTTCTTAGGACAATAAATAAACAGAATGCCCTGTCCTTATTAAATGGCCCGCTGCAAAATCATCGCTTTCAGTCTCCTTGTGGAACTCTTTCTCCTTAAAGATGCATGAACAGAGGTCTGTAGTCGGGTGGAAGACAGATGTCAGAGGCTTTGGAAATGAGCTGCTGGCAGTGACTGTGAGAGACAGCGGGGTTGTCACCGGGTCACTGTGGGTGCCCTCTGGGATACCACACAAGGCAGGTGTGTGTCCCGGGCGATCGGGGTTAGGCTGGGGAAGCCCTCATCCTTTCTCTGGAACAGCTCGGAAAAGGATGACCAAAGCAGGGTGCAGGCGGCAGCTGGGTGCCGGGAGCTGTGGAGAGGGCAGACAGAACAGAGCCGGGACCTGATCAGATCAGCGTAAGCGGAGCCCTGGGGTTCTGGCTGGCTGGCCGCGCCCCCTCCGCACTGTGCTGACCACGTGAGCTGGGGGGGGGGGGGTTACAGCCCAGTGGGAGGTAACTTAGAACACACACACACACACACACACACACACACACACACACACACACACACACACTTCACATCTCCTGGAAGCCTCCAGAGAAGCTGCAACAAGCAGTCACAAACTGATGGCGGAGTTGGGGACTTATTGGTGACTTAGACGGATGGGGTCCCCGGGGATCTAAGCCCCAGAGGCTCCCCCAGCACGAGGCACCCCCGTTTGCCGTTGCACCGCAGGTCAAACAGAGAGCGAGGCCGGGCTGGGGAGGGTGGCCGGGTGGGAGCCCCGCTCTGTGCCCCCGCCGGTGGCCCCCGAGCCTGGCCCCGCTGCGCCGCCTCTGCTCTCCAGCGCGCGGCGCTGCTGTTCTCCGGAGCCGCGTCGCTTCGTGCGCGGACAGCGCGGCTCGGCCGCCGGGCCGGAGCCCAGAGCATCCACCGAATCCGCGGCTCTCGTGACGTCTCCCGCTGGGTCTGGCCCTCGGCTCCTCCAGAAGGCTTTTGGCCCCGGCCACTCCAGGCTGCCCGCGGTCTCCTGGCAGCCGGCTCCGCTCCGCCCCTGCCCACGCGCGCTCCCCTGCCCCTCCGAGGCCCCAGCGCCCAGCCCTCCAGCCAGAGGGAGCCAGTCGCTAGACGGCAGCTCCCGGCTGGAGAGGTTGGGCGGGCGGAGGGTGGGGACCCGCGGGACCGGCGAGCCGGGCCGGGCCGGATCGAGCGCGAGCAGCAGAATGGAGTCTCCCGACAGCCTGCCGCGGCTGCTGTGGAATTAGACTCTCCGCTCCAGCTGCGCTCTCCTCTCCTTTCTGCGGCTTCTTCCCTCGCCACCCGCCGGGGAGTGAACGGCGAGAGCTCGCTCCGCTCCCGAGAGGCGATCGCGATGGAGTGAGCCACCCCGCCCGCCACACGGTAAGCGGCGCGCTGACTCGCTGGAAGGCGAGGCGCTGGCGCGGGTCCCGGCCAGATGTTCCGCGCCCTGGCCTCCCCAGCCTCCGGGCCCGGCTCGCGGGTCCCCCGCCCCACTGTGGCCGCATGCTTCCCCCGCTCCGCCGAGGCACGATGCCGGAGTCCACCGGAGGCAGGAGAAGCCAGTTACATAACCAAAGAAAATGTGTCTCGGGGGGGGGTTTCATTACAGCTTAAAAACTCGCCTGGGGGTGGCGGGAGGAGGGGTCCGCTGCCCTGGGCGCTGCAGACCGGGCAGGTCCTGTGGACCTCATTTCGCACCTCCGGTGAAGAGCAGACGCTCGGGCGAGGTGGCAGGCAGGAGCCGCGGGTGCAGGCGGCAGAGTTAGAAGAGCCCATTGTCTCGGTGGCGGCTGTAGCCTTGTTCTGTTTGGGCATAAAGAGGAGAGGATGCGAAGGCGGAAAAGTGAGCGGAAGGGAGGAGGAAGCCAGGGAGGACTCCGCGTCTTCATCAGCAACCCCGCGATGTGGCGTGCTGGCTGAAGGCACGGACTGAGATGTCCCCACAAGTAAACTAAGCGAAAGGACGGGCGCCTCGGGTCAAACGAAGTGTCCGTGCCATTCAGGGACTGGGTGACCCTGACTTAGCCTCCCTCCTGGGGCTGTCTTCCTCAGGACGTTGCGCTTGGGTTAGATTCTAGCCGAAGTGGCATTCACGGTCCCCAAGCCTAACGAAGCCCTGGCGGATCCACAGGTATAGACGGGGCTCGCTGTGGAGAGCCGTAGGGGGGCTGACCACAGAATAACAGGAATTTCCAAAGAACCCCTTCTGAGAGAGAGAGAGAGAGAGAGAGAGAGAGAGCAGAAATGCCCCTGTGCCGGGGAGCTGGCGATTTATTACATTTTTAATGAGCCCCCAGCTGCTTTACCCAAAGTCTCCGGGGTCCTGGGGAGCTCACTGGCAGCCACGTTAGCCACTTCCCTGCGAGCACTGTGCCCCGGCTACCTTTCTCTTCTGCTGAAAGATGGAGTAGGGCAATGTCCGGGAAAGTGGGCTTGCTACAGCCAGGGCTCAGCTAACTAAGCTTCGCCCATTTTGCCTGGAGAAGGAAGGAGCTGAGTCTCCATGGCGACCCAGGTGGGAGGGGACACAGCAGCTCCAGTGACAGGGAAAAAAACGGTGGACAAAACTTTCTTGGCTCCAAGCAAAGATATGCCCACCGTGTGCCCCGAGGGGGTCCCAGGGCAGCAACTGGGCCAAGCTCCTAGCGGTGATCCTCCCCCCCCCCCCCAGGGCACTTAGACGCGGCCACGCTCTCTTCTGAGCAGATTCCGGGTTCAGCACCAAGGCCAGGGCAGTACGGAGGGCCTGACTGTCCCAGCCAGCAAGCTCTAGAGCTTGTGGTCTTGAGAAGGCAGCGCGCTCTGTAAAATTCCCTGCTCAGGCGGACAGGGCGTAGGATTATCCACGGGATGATGTGGAGTTAGCAAGCCAACCGTTCCCTGACGGTGCCTCAGAGAGACTGTTCAAAACAAACACTGAAACTGCAAGTGGATAAAGCTGACCAAGAACCAAGAAAAATCCCTCCTCGGTGGAGGGAAACACACACATGCACACGCACACACACACACACACACACACACAGGGAGAAAGAGAGAGAGACCCTGACCCCCCCCCCAAAAAAAAAGTTGAATTTGAACCAAGAGTCTGACTCAGAAAACACCAGTGGTTTGGGTCCCTCTCACACTCTCACATTCTCACACTCTCCTTTTGGACATAGATGTTGGAAAGGTGCCAAGATGGCATCCTGGCCAGTAAACCAGCCAACCAACTCCTGCCTAGGGTCCTGGGGTCTAAGAGGGTGGAGAGACACTTGAACCTCTGTGCAGCCATGAGGACTCCCGGGTTAGCGAGGTGGAGCCGAGAGTGAGCTCTTGTGCACAGTGCATGAATGAGGCACCAGGCTTCCACAGACCAGCACGGTGGAAGGAGCCGGTCCTAGCGATATAAACAGGGAGGGCCTGGGTGGGCGCCTCTTGTTACTCGGTTCATCTGGCCAGTGGCTCAGGTGAGTACTCAACCCTCCTGGATGGCCTCTGCTTGGCCTTTTCCTTCAGCAGCCATAGCCCCCACTGATTATGACTGATGAAAACAGTAGTGCAGGCCAAGTGACAAAGCCTTGAACGGCGGCGTCCCCGTGCAGTGGGACGGTGTTGGTTGTGGCACTTTGCTGAGGTTTAGGGGGTAGAAATGGCAGCAGCACTCGTAAGGGAACCCTCCTCTTGAGGAGTCCCTCGTGTGAGACCCTGGGTTGGTGCCGACTTGGGATGCTTAGAGGTAAACGTGGCACAACTAGGCGTGCAGCCGGGCTTTCCAAGGCCAAGGGCGTGTTGATGTTCCCTGAGGAAAGTGGGTGCAGAGCGCTCCAGGTGTGGTTGGCATGCGAGCATAGCTGTCAGACCCTCTAACTTGCCCGTAGGCACACGGGAAGGTGGAGCTGTGTGTTCCGGACGTGGGCAAAGGGCTGAGGGATTACAGTGGTTTTTTTCTTTGAATTTCAGATCCTGATGGATATTGACAAGTTTATCCGTGTTTGAATTTATCCAGCTTGTTATCTGAACTAGAAGTGATGTGCAGAGTATTTTGGGACTTAAACAGGCTGTGCTCTGGCTTTGATCCATCTGCCGTTCCCAACAGAAGGAAAGCGGAGATTAGAGGCGAGCAGTAACGGAGGGTGTTAGATGAAGAGAGTGGCCTGAATGCGGTCTTAAGGTTCTCCCACAAGCCTGAAAAGGAAAGGCTGTGTATAAACCAAGAATGGGAACGGGCTCCATCTTTAGTTGCAGTGACTTCTGTGTAACAATCGATGGGTTTCTCGGCCAGCAGCCTGTAGTCATGGCAGATTCCATGCTCAGGTTGGGCACTCGTTTCCCAACCGTGGCTTGCTTACTTCCTGGTGGCTAATGACTGGACCCGGTGCCATTCCGTCCTTATGGAGTCCACAGCACACTCCAGACTAATTGCCAGATTGGCTAAGGAGAATGGCTTCATAAGACCCACCCCGGGAGCCAGTTCTGCTTTGCATTTTTCAAAGACTACACTGATGCCTCTCTTTCCTGCTCCCGAAATGTGAGCAAACAGTGTGTGTGTGTGAGAGAGAGAGAGAGAGAGAGAGAGAGAGACCCAGGCCTTCACTGCATCTGTAGGACTCGAATTGATGGTTTCCTCTGAGCTGTGCAAATGCTTTTGTTCTCTCCCCTGTTCCTCCGGTCCTCTTGCAAACCTTCACTACTTCACACAGTTGTTTCATATAGAAAACTAGCTCCAGATGAAACCGCAGGAAGGCTAGCTGGCAATTACAATGCGTGAATAAAGCCTTATCAAACCTTAGTGCCCTCTCCTGATGTTTCCAAACAGAAAATGAGTCTGCCCTCCAGGGCTTGGTGCTGACGGGAATCTGCATGAAGCAAAGTTCTGCCTAAAAGAGAACAGACAGAAACTCACCCCTGATGGAATAAGACAGAAGTGACACATGGGTTTGGGAGGAGAGCAGGCCATGGGAGAAGCACAGAGGAAGCTGGTTTTGCTTTCCTCCAGAGTGAGCCTTCTTTCCAAATCACATTTTCACAGTTTTTTATCAGAACTCATGATGAAATGAGTGTTCAAATGTACTTAATTCAGATTTATAACTTAATGAGATGATACCTATTATTTCCTTACTTTGTAATAATTATCATGTAAGTGCCAAAAGAGAGCTAACTCATCCTAGAATTTTACTCAATTATAAAAATTGTTCATATCAGGAAAGTAAAAATTGGTTGTTAAGCTGAAAAAGTTTCAAAATGCTTCCAACCCATTAAAAGCTGCCTTTTACTTGCAGTCTCCATTCACAGTGTTTGAAGTATTTGGGAATCTAGCAAAATAGCAAGCAGCCATTTAGGATAAAATGTGTTTTGAATAATGGCAAATAGGTTGTTGTAGCAATAGCTAGGATCCTTTTCGGAAGGGGTCCTTGTGAGCACAGTCAACACGCTGATGGAATTCAAGATTCATCCCGGCCCTCAAATATGCACCGACTTGATGTCCTCCAACAGCGTTAGCTAGCGACAAGGTTGGCTGTCTTTGATAGAGGACACCTACCTTTAAATGCATCCCAATCCATAGCCTTCCTCCAGCCACGCCCCAAACCAACTGTGTTCATTCTCTTATTAGTCAACAGTTACTCAGATAGCCCTTGGAGAAGGACTTGTCGGTGATGAACGTCGGAGCCACTGAGCGTTCAGGATTCAGACTTCAGTCAGGCCGTCTATCAACCCTCCCAACTGGGATACACAAAGTTCAATGCATTTTAACCAGACGGTGATTTGATCACACTTAGGCATGCCCATCCCAGCTCAGCTGAGAGCCTTTACCCCACCCCCTTACGCCTGTGTCTGCTGCTCAGCTTTGATCTGGGATCACGAGCTCATGATGCCTTAGTGAGCAAAGTTTAGCTAACTCTCCTCCACCCCGGAGTCCAGCCCTCAGCTACGGAGATATCACTTCTGGCATCAAATCTTAACAAAAGAACTGGCAAGTATGTGTGCGAGCGATACACCCACATCCCGCAGCTGTGTGTGAGACAGCCCGAGCAGTAAGGCCCTGTGCGGGAAACAGGTAAAGTCTCCTCAGAGGCACCTCCCTTCTCCCTGCACAACGTGAGGACTGGGTGGCCTGCTTGTTTGTTTACTTGTTTGCTTTTATTTCCTTCTTGTCATCCAGCAGGAATCCCTGTGTGGCATCATGCTTGACAGGCAGTTTGTTCCTTGGTTAAGAGTCGTGGCTCTGGAGTCCCATAAATGTATTCAGATGGAGGTTAAGTGTATTAGTCTCTTCTCTCTGGATTCAGTGGAGTCATAGCGGCCACACTGGCTGTAAAACAAAGGCTCATTACTCCCTTGAGCCTCCCTGGCTGGCCAATAGAGGCTCTGCCCCTATGTCTTCTTCATTCAGAGATCCAGGC